ATAGGGAAGGATTCAAACAAGAACACCTTCATTTTATGAGAACGTGAGAACACTCTTTTACTATAGAAAATTACATGTGATACTATTATTCCATCACATATGATACACAAATGATACTAAATCAGAGACGCTAGCGATTTTTGATGCGATCTTGGTTGCGGGCCAAGTCGCCCTTGCACCACTAAGCCCCCTCACAAGTATTATCACATGTGATAAGGGTGTTGTTGATATTTTAATATAATCCATCAAGACCATCACATGTGATGCTAAATCATAGACGCAGACAACCTTTGGCGCCGCCAAAGTCGTAGAACACGTCGTCCGCACATCACAGGGTCCCCTCACGCATATTATCACATGTGATAAGGGTGTTATCGCACTCTCATAAAATGGTGTGTTCTCGTTTGAACCTCCACCTTCACCTATATATATATATATATATATATATATATATCTCACTCGTTCTTTCACTCTTTACACTCTCAAAATATACTCTCTCTCAATACTTTTTGAAAGCAAGAACACCAAGAAACACACACTTGTTTCTCTCTTTCTCTTGCAAAAACAGGTTTTTTTTTGTTGTTAATATAACAAGAAACTTGTTTGTCTTTTGGTATCCTATTTTCTTCTTTAATATATAAACAATACGAGTTGTATAAATCCTTTTTTTATATATTTTAACTTTGTTTCTTAAACCTATTCTCGAAAACCTGTTTTCTTTTTGGTTCTTCGAAGGAAAGTTTATCCTCCAAACTTTTGTTCCGAGCTTTGTAACTAAAGATCCCAAAAACAGTAAAAAGAACATATATTTTACAAGTTTCTTTTCCATATTGTAACAACTAAGCAATTTTCTTTATGTTGTTTTGTCATCATCAAATAGGGGGAGATTGTTGATCCAGACTCTTTTAGTGATTTGATGATGATCCTTTGTACCTAGAGAAAAATACTTAGTTCTGTTTTATTCAGTTTCAGCAATCATCACTGAGTCTATTCAGTGATTGTTGTTTTCAAGAAGACTAAACCTACACCAAAAGAACCTTCAGCAATGTCGAAGATAAAGCTGAAGATATGGACAAGGAGTTCATGATCTGAAATGGTTTCAGTGATAACAAGCATGTCTTCAATCAAGTGTGAAGTTTGTTCAAGATAAAGCGAACACTGGAGAAACTCTAGAGATATGCTAATGTCAGCGATCAAATGAGTTTTGCTCTACAAGATTAGTTTTTGTCTTATCCTCCTGCACACAAAGAACAACCCCATACCTCTCAAAGTAAAACATATGTACAGAGTCCCTCTATTGTCTCCAAATGTGCTTACCTACTTTGTAAGAAATCGTTCATATACGGCCAAAATCATGTATATCTGAAGACAAAGAACATGCTCACCTCTAGAAGTTTGTACCCTCTTACTTGCATTTAATGCAATGGATATAAATAGCCAAGGAGAATATCTTCTCCTCATCCGTGAAGCTAAGCTTACTTACCGCGAAGAACGGCACATACATGCAAAACTAAGCCTACTATCAAGCAAAGTTATAGCATCTTCTCAAGAAATCCTTTTCTCTCTTGCTTTTCTGTATATTGTGTGCTTCCTAGATTGTTTAGATAAGTTTTATATCTTATCTTTTTTCACAAACAATCTGTAAATTTTGTATTAATCTTCTCATATCAATAAAGAATTGTAAAAAATGAATTTTGTGTGTTTGTATTCATTCCCCGTGCATGACTTGTTTGCAAGTAAAAGTCGAGCATCAAAAACCTTTTGGGCATCTACAACCATTAGAAATTATGGTGTGGAAATGCGACCATATTACATTGGATTTTGTTATGAAGTTACCACGAACCAAGAAAAGGAATGATATTATATGGGTAATTGTGGACCGTTTAACCAATTCTTCTCATTTCTTGGAAATTCAAGAGAAATATCTGGTAAAACGGTTGGAAAAATTGTACGTGGATGAAATAGTGTCTCGTCATTGTTTACCTTTGTCTGTAGTTTCAGATCGAGACAGTAGATTTATAACTTGATTTTGGATAAGGTTTTAGAAAGAGATCGGATCTCAACTTAAGTTGAGCACAACATATCATCCTAAACCGATAGGCAAAATGAACGAACGATAAAGACTGTGGAGGATATATTACGTGCTTGTGTGATTAAATTTGGGTGGTAACTAGGATGATCACCTACCTTTGATAGAGTTTTCATATAACAATAGTTACCACTCCAGTTTAAAAGTCGCGCCATATGAAGTACTATATGGCATAAAGTGTAGAACTCTTGTTTGTTGGCGAAATATAGAGAATAACGAGGTTACTGGACCTGAGTTGTTAAATCAAACTTCAGAAAAGGTCAAAAAAATTCATGAACATTTTCAACCTGCCCAAGATCATCAAAATAGTTATGCAGACAAAAGGCGAAAGCACCTTGAATTCGAGATTGGAGATAAAGTGTTACTAAAGGTAGCTCCATGGAAAGGTTTGATAATATTCGGAAAGCGAGGAAAACTAAGTCCTACTTTTCCGATAATACAACGGGTAAGAGCAATAGCTTATCAATTAGAGTTACCACCAGAGCTACAAAAGATACATAATACCTTTCATGTATCGAATCTATGAAAATGTTTTGATGATGAAGAAGCGAAGGTACCTTTCGAAGAGATAAGAGTTAATGAAAAGTTGAATTATGAAGAGGAACCTGAAAAGATTATTGATTGGACTATTTGGAAGCTACACAATAAAGAAGTTGCACTCATCAAGATATAATGAAAATATCATAAAGGACAAGATGCTACATGGGAAATGAGAAAATTATGAGAGAAAAATACTCTCATTTATTTCAGTACGACCAAATTCCGAGGACGGAATCTTTTTCAGGGGGGGTTGTAACAACCCGTTTTCGGGCCTAGATGTTAGTACGATAAGAAATCGTAAGTGCATGAGTGGATAAAATTTGAGATGATAGAGTCGGTGCATTATCGAAATCTAATAATGAGTATATTCTATGAATACTAGCTTCTCGGTTATCGATTGGGTTCGAAAAAATAATGTATAATGTTAATCTGCAATAAAACAATGTTGATCGACACAATCAATTTTCTAGTCGGTTAACTATCATGTGTCGGCAATCAAACCGAAATATTATGATATTAGCATGAGTAATTAATTATATTAGAAATAAAGCTTGGAAAGTTTATAAGTTACAAAAGATAAATTAAATTATGTTAGTTTGAAGTAAAAAATATATTGTATTAGGTATAAATTGTATTTTTACATTTTCTTTTTATGCAGAAAAGAAAAACATGGCAATGTATTTATTTTTGTAACTAGTATTTTATATTAGAAGATATTATTTTAAATGGAATATAATAGGGTTAAAAAAATCACAAATAAAAATTTAAGGATAAGTCTTATAGATGTTAGTGGAGTATTATTATTATTATGTAGAATGATGCATGGAGTTGTATCATTAAAACTTGCCACTTGCCACCTATTTCAAGTAGTCATCATAACCAATAATTCATAGTAACAAGTAGATATAGGGAACTTTCTTCTTCCTCCCTCATTTTTATCAAAAGAACAACTCAGCAGAAAATTTCCTCTAAAAACACATAAAAGTTGTGGAAAGAAAAGGAGCAAGCAAGAGGAGAGGGTGTTATAGCAAAAGAAGTTACAAACAACCTCAAAGTTGGGGACTCTCATATTACCTTACTGGATGTGGATGAATAGGGCAAGAACCAAAAATCTTACCCGGTAAGAGTAAAGGCAGGCCGTTTACCAGATAAGCGTTTAACAAGTCACATTACCTTACCAGATGAATATGGTAAAGACCAAGAATCTTACATGATAAGAACGAAAAGCGAAGACCAGAAGTCTTACCCGGTAAGTAACGGTAACAACTCGTTAGTGCTTTTCGGGTAAACTGTTACATACAATGTCATTTTGGTGGACTGAAATCTTACCCCGTAAGTAAGCGATAGTGTTGAATTTTACCGATAAACGCTTACTGGATAAGTGTTTAAGTAAACGACCCCTAAGCTTCTATACAACTCAAGGTGATTGCTTGGTTTTGATTTAAAATGTGATACACTCTATGTCTCTCTTTATATCAAAGTTCATACACATATTATGCTATGATTTTATATGGTTAAATAATCTTTGTTGTTGTATTATTATATTTGATAAACAGTAATAAGTTGAGATTTATCATGTAAAACTTGTGAGATGTAAAGTTTTAAGTTACATGTCAACTTTTATAGCAAATACATACTTCCAGCATATGCATAAACATCAAGTATATGACTTACTTCATTCTTGTAAGAACGTTGGTTACTAAATGGTTAATCGGGTACATGATCCGGTTGAGTTAGGTTCATGGAAGGACGAAACCAACGAGGATAAACAGTTAAATCATTTCAGGATTACTCTGGTTTTGAACTCGTGGTAGGGGCTGTGAATCTGTTTTGGTGCATAGATAACGGCATGATGTTTTTACTAAAAGCATGAAATCTAGCATATGCACGACTTACAAAGATTTATAAATGCATTTCATTAAACTTGTAATCACCCGACAGCTTAAAAATATATGTGTATCACAGCACAGGTGAGAATGGAGAGATGTAGCAGGATTAGAAGCAAGAGAGTGGTTGTAATAGCTTTGACAACGATGGGTATCTGTTTTTATGTTATACTTGGATATAAACCAAAACATATTTTGTATCATTTTGATGAACAAGGCCTAATGCATTTTATTACAACAAAACCTAACAAAAAGAATTCTTTTCAATATAAATACTAAATTAGACCAAATATAGCTAAAAGAAAAAAAAACAATTTCATTTTTGAAGCAGTTCCTGTTGTTGAGAACATCCTTGTAGAGATGGTCAAGTGGAACTGAAAACGGAGTACAGACCGGTTTTGGTCAAAACAAGACCGCGGTTAACCAATGCGGCTATTCATGACTTACCTAAATGACTGGAAGAACAGGGAAAAAAAAGCCAAATGTCTAAAAACCGAAAGAGAGACTTGGAAATTGTAATATTGCATTCATTGTAAAAGGGTAAAAACAACAAAGAGCTCTGAAGACGATAAATAAGATCACAATGAACCAACACATACTTGTTAGAACATGTTCTAATCTATAACATATAGGGCCTCAAACCCGATTGTATGCAACCGATTTGCTGAACAGCCGCCGTATGTAAACCACTTGGAGTCCACTTGCTAGAGCCAGCAATATGTATTCGCCAATTGTGTAAAAGATCACCCGTTTATGTGTGCTTTCATTTGCTGCATAAACAAATATTATTAATCTCAGTAGTCGTCATAAAATATTACTCCCTCCCTCCATGCCAACGTAAGTGTAGTTTTTCTTACAATGGCTCTCTTTGTATGTGTTGCTTCACTAGTTATTAGTTTTCCAACATCATATCGTTCTCAAATACTTCTTTTTTGAAGCCTTATTTTTTTTCATCAAACTTTTTGGGCAAACTGTCACACTTTTCACAAGCCACAGGGTCTTCACAAAAACAACCAGCTTTACTCAGTCGGGCAGAGATTAAGTCTGCATACACCCACCCCGAGAAAAACCCCACCTTCAGGAGAGATATACTGGACTCGTTTGGTGTGGTTTGGGTTATGATTGTTAAGTTCGTTTTGACACAGTTTTCTCTTGTGTATTGTTGTCGTGGTTTGGAATTGGAGTTATGATTGTTAAAAGTTCATTTCGGCAGATATAGTTTTCTCATGTGTATTGTTGTTACCTATGACCCAAAGAAAACACTAACACTTCCCATTTTGGATCGTCCCAAACATTCCCTTTTCTGGGAAAAAAAATTCCTTTGCAAAATTATCTAATTGCCCATAAGCAACCACTAAAATGTGTTGGTGAGATTAATTGTGTGATCAGCACATTTTCTCTACTTAGTCTTATTAGAGGATGTTTTAGGTATTTGATCACCAGTCGAAAGCTTTTAATTCATGGCAACTCAAACGATGCAGTTGCATTTTTTAAAGGGAAATAGAACAGATGGTTTTCATATCTTAAAACTATAAGCAAATCATACAATTGCCACCTAAAACACATGTGGAAGTACACCAATCAACTTAAGCAGTAAAGAAGTAAGTTACCAAAATTGCTTAGAGAAGTATAAGAATGTGATTTGTGGCGTTGTTGGTAGATTTTATTGATTTCACAAAATAAGAAGCCATGATTCATTATGTTTCAACATATGACATTCCAACACAAACTAAATGCTAATAGAAAATTTCATCCTGTTGCCTTTGATCTCCATTAAAGATTTCATGCTATCGTCATTTAGTTTTCTGATTGTTTCATATATCCCACTGGCATAAAGAAAATTTGTTTCAGGTGGAGTTGAATTTTACTAATAGTTACTATTAGAGTTGGGATACCGGGATAGTTGTATATTTCTATAGTTTTCTGCATCTAGGTTTATTGTAGGGTTTATCACTGCACTCTGTTTATTCAACAATTGAGAAACAATGATAATCAAATGGCCAGACGATCTTTCTTTCATAGTATCAGACCCAGTTGGCTACAAGCCAAGCCTAGGTTACTGCTCACCTCTACAGCTATAGGATCAATAATAGACCTAAGTTATCCCATGGCAACTGAACCCACCCTAGGTTGATTAGATGAGATGCTGATCAAGACTAGAAGACAAGGTATTATGTGTAGGAAACTGAAACAACTACTAATCATTTGTGAAACATGAGGTTTGACTTCAACAAATAGATTGGTCCATTGACGTTAATTTTCTTGTTTGGTTTTTATTGTTAATTGAAATAAATAAAGTTGAACAAACTAAAAATGAAAGAGTAATGATACACATAATTTAACAATGATGCATAAATATCTTATGAACGTTCCTAAGATAATATGAAGAGTTCAAGGGGCTTACTATGGCGATGTCGAGCATCGCGTGCTTTCAAGTATTTTTGTTCAGCTGTAACAGATTCCAATGCCTCCCTCAATTCAGCAATTTTCACATTAACAGGGTCCAAATGCTCTGCAAAAGATTATAAACGGGCATTTTGTAACTTTTCCAGCAGCAAATCGAGCATGTTTAGCAACAAAAAACGTATGGACGATGCTATTTAAATACAGAAACATGCAGCTCTACAAAATAATAGTGATGATGATTGTTCCATCAGGAATATATTTGCAAGACATTTACACTGGATGTACTCAACAAGGGAGTTTTTACAAACCATCTTTTGCTAGGTCGTGCTCATTGGGAATATGACCAACATGAATGTAGAAAGAGACCGTCTCTGGAGTCGAGTACGGATTATGAAAACAAAATTGGTACATTCCACTTCTTGGAGCCTTAAACTCAAATTTTTCCCCAGATGTTCCTTTCATCGTTTGAACTACATTCCCTCCAGGAGAAGACACCTGAAACAAACCCAAAACTCAATACATTAAGTGTAAATTAATTTGTGTTCACACAAGAGAACAACCAATAGTCACATACCAATTATCATTCTTAATATGGTGCAACACCCCAACTTCGATATTATAAAATTAAGAGAGTTATGATACAAGTAGGTTACAGTTAGCACACAGGTATGTAGCTTACAACTCTAACATGCAGTCAAAGACCTTCCAGCCTAGTGGTAAAGGCTTGGGCATGGCATAGTCATGAACCCGAGTTCGAGCCCTGGGAGGGGAGTGTTGGCGACATTTAAGTGGGGCCATGTTTAGCCTCCAAATTTGCCGGGGATTAGTCGGGCTTTGGCCTGGACACCCTTACAAAAAAACATCTAACATACATGTAATTCGCTTAAAAAGCACCTTTTATCTCCTTATAAAATAGCTAGTAACCTAACTATTTCACCAATACCCAAAGTAGAAAACACTTTAAAAGTAGAAGATACTAGTAAGAAGCTAATTGATGTTACTTGAAGGTACGATGTCAAGATACAAGTCATAAGCAAGACACGAAAGGAAAGTAAACAGGTTTGAGGTTAAGCAAACCAGGTGAGTTTCATGTGATTTCCCAAACTAAGGTTCAGACATATGTAATTTTTCATTCCAAACTTGTATTGAGCATGCTATTTCTTTACATTTTATAGTTACATTTATTAGACCTCTTACGCATGCTATATGTTCACTATCTCGAAAAACGTGTTATGCATGAAAACATCTTGGCTAAAAGTAATGGGGTCAAGTATTGGGACACCGATGGAGATAGATAGGGTATCGCAAAGATGTATGGAACCAGTACATATACTGCAAGGGTACATCTATACTTGGTGTGTGAAATATTACTAACACGTACGGCGATCATTCTACTTGGTAGATTCAAATGTGTTTAGCATACTCCACACCATGTTGGCTCAGATTTGAAACCTCACATATTTACTTATTTTTTATCTTGCATCAATACAAGGTTCAGTATTACATGCATAACGAAGTTTAGTATTTCATGATCAAATACGTGTTCAGATTTTATGCATGATTTTATGCATAAGTTCATACTACATGCTTCAATAAAACATGTTGGATATTTGATATCATACGTTCCATAATATGTATTAATAATTGCTTAGCATGAAAACCATGAACTCACTCCAAGTAAATGACTAGTAGTGTCTACCTCAGGGTCAGACAAAGTGGAAAGCAACAAAGAGAGAGAAAATGTAGTTCTCTGTTCCAGATCTAGCCACTGAACCTTATTTTTTATATGCACTAGTATAAATTGTTGGCTTAGTACACTACAACCGAAATGGAAGCCAAGTGTTTCGTGGTTCAAAAATGCAGAATCTCGTCTCAATCATCATTTATCAGGAAGCCAGGTGTTTCAATTGCTTAAAAACTTCTTAGTATCTTGTATTCAATTATAGATGCAGTCAGTATCATGTTGTTAAGTTTGTAAGTATGTTGAAAGTCTTCCGCTGTAATTGGTTAGTAGTATTCTAATGCTATTATTCAGATTTCATGAAGATTGTCAGAACGTCACAGCCTGGGAACTAGGGTGTGACATATCAGGTCATCAAAAAGCCTGTGGCGATTACAAGTAGATCATAAATTCAGTTCATGACTTAATCATATCATCACAAAGCCTCTTTCATTAGTCCTATTTTTACCTTTGGCTTAGTTGTCGTTTCATTTTTCTTATTGGTTCAAGCTTGTAAAATATCAAATGTGTATCTGCAGTATGTATTTTCTGGACCTAGTCTCTGCCAAGTGTTTTTGGCCCACATTGGATGATCAAGCAAGCAACCAAATACACACACAAGTCAATGCATTGCCATTGATTTCCCTATAAATATCTCGACTAAACATAATTGTTCTAAAACAAAATATTTACATGGACTACAAATTAAGATTTTAAATGCACTGAACCTAGTTTTAAGTAGAAAAGATGTAATCCCTCCAATTCTCAAAAAGTGCACTGGTGTGACATTTGAGAATCAAAAAGACTATTTTCAATTTCAAATTTTATATGGATGTTTTATTTACAGAAAATATTTGTAACTACATGAAACAATATATGAAATCTGAAAACAGCAAAAACTAGTATTAACTATTGAGAATGTACATATTTAAGGTGCTAGACCTGGCATTTAAACATCCAACTACAACACTTACTTAAGAAAAGTAGGTTATGATTTGTACTATGCTTGTAGTAGAGGTTGTAGTCTTCCACTTCAAATTACTTCAGAAAGGATGACTGACTTAACGACTCAAGAAAATACCTTTACCCGCAAGAAAGCCACAAACACCTCTTGATTGAACTCATCAAATTAAAACCATACTTTTTCTTTCTTTATGAATTTGGATCTATAAGTATTTCTAGTAATCTCATATGGATGCTTCTTATTGAAAAAAATATACATCCAACTTCTTTGCCAAGCAAAAGGAAATTCTTGCTTAGAGTTCACTGTTCACAAGACACACCTGGTCTACAAAGGCACCCTGCTACCTATGTTATGCATCATAATGTATCACCTTCACTGACTCTATTTATGAACAAAAGTCCATATATGATACATGAGTTTACCTGAATGTCAAGACACTTCCATTCTAATCTAAAAAATGGAGGTTGTAATGAGTAGGATCTTAGGTGGAGTTGATTTTCCTTTAAACCCACACATACTTTTTTAAAACAAATTTTAAAATTAAGTACAGCTCTTATTTTTCCCTATAACTTGAGGCCTATAATGCTTTCAAAACACCCTTGATGATGGCCTAAATAGTTTTCATACAACCTATCGACAAGCGAGATGGTTACCCAAGGGAAAACAAAGATCGATATAAGCCATAAATTCATAAGGTCTGTTGGCTAATTTATTGGGCACCTTCAAAATCAAAACCTAATAAATATACATGAAAATTAAGAAAAAATCAAATAAGATCCAACTTCTATTTATAAAACAAAAAGAAAAGTAAATAAAGAAACCACGGAAAAACAAAGTAGCTATAAGGAACGACTATTCAGTGAAACTCGTTTGAATTCAGAATTTCGAACAACAAATCCAGAGAATTTACTGCCATCTAAATTTTAAAACGTAACGAAGCAGATGAACGAAACCATCAGAGAATTGAAAATAACAAAAGCCCTTAATTTCACTCCCATCTAGCAATTTGTAACAAAAAAATCACAAGCCCTTTCGGTTCCAATTCACACAGATTCAACAGAATAATAAATAAATAAAAGCATGATCAGAACTATAAAGATCTAGAGACTCACGATGAAGTCGATGCCGGGGTGATCGGAGCTCCAAAATATATCATGATCGACGACGACAAAGTTACCTGAAACCGTATCGCCTTCATAGAGTACATACTCGTATACGCATTCAACATCGTTCACCGTGACCGAAAGTGCCGATACGTCACCGGCAAAAGTCGAAAGAAGAAGCAGCCCCAAAACCGCATACGCTTTCATTTTTCTCTCTCCTCTCTCCATCTACCGATTTCCTTCTCATTCACATAAAAGAAAGGAAGGTGCAACCCGCTCGCGTTTTCAGGGCTTCGTCCAGACCAATTGCTACATTTTACCAATTTACCCCTATACTATATCGATTTTACCAATTCACCCCTATACCATGGCACATTTTACTAATTCACCCCTATACCATGGCCACATTTTACTAATTCACCCCTAGTTGTGCTATGACATATTTTGCTAATTTATCGATAGACGAAGGATCGTGTAAGAAGAGAAATTATGATGAGAAACATGATAAGATATTTATATATTTGATTATTTTTAATCTCATGTACACCTATAAATTGCGCATGGTAAGGGAATTGATCTGGTACATTATTAAAATCTTACCTGATAAGTAAATGATAGTGTTAAATTTTATCGGTAAATTCTTACCGGATAAGTGTTTGATATACGGCCCAAGTATGATATGCAAAATCATATTCAGTAAACAACTTGTCATAGAATTAACCTAGCATTTATTGAGAGACATTTAAACAAATTGATACCAACAAAATATTGAACTTCTAATTTGGAAAATGCATTAATTATTTTGTAAGTCACAACTGTTATTTGTTTTTCAACTTCTTTTGAAATATTAAATAACAAAACAGAATAAGATTCAGTTTAATTGATTTTTGATTATTCAGTTCGATTATCTGATAAACTAAATAAAGATTACGGTTTTTTTGATGGTTTTGAAAAGACGAAAAAGTTGCGAATGATTTACAAAATGACTAGTATTTGCATTTAAAAAGAGTCTATGAATATAACATATAAAAATGTTTATTTGGATTAATCGAATAAACCTATACTTATTCGTTTTAATCGAACCATTTTAAATGTTATTTCTTTGACACCTCTAATTACAAAAATCAAATGCATTGATTATATGTAATGACAATCTAAGGTTTAACATCAATAAATAATACTTCAACCTTACACATAATCTAAACATACGAAGACATCCCCGAATAACTAAATCATTCGCGTGCCTCTGACTAGCACTCGATTCATCACATCATCACTAGTATCAAACCCTAACAAGGACTTGATGTACATATCGACAAATAAAAAAGGTTAGACTTCACGCCTAGTGAATTTCAAGCAATTTTTATCATAATTATAAAATGATACAACTGAAAGATTGCTTATTTAAAACATGATTTATCGTAAAAGCAACATCTTTCCTACCCCATCATTACATGATGAAAACTCTAAATTAAAACATCTATTCAATATGAATTCAAAACTCAATACTCACTTCCAAAACATAAATGAAGTTTAATGTGTAAATATTGTAAACATGGATAAAAACTCTATTATCCAAAAATATCCAAAACATGAATCATAAAAAACATGGATAATACACTATCTGAAAATAACCTTTCGTTGAGGAGGGGGGGGGGGACCCGTATCCATCGAATGTGGTGAACATAAAAGTAAGTCATATTCTATGTTAATGAGTTCCACTATGAATTGCACGGTCATCAAGTTCAACCACTCACGGTCTATAGCTCGAGTTATCTGTCGATCCTAGACATACTCGTTCACTAGAAATGAAGTCACTACGGACAATATGTTTATCAAGTTTAACCACCCACAGTTTATAGTTTGAGTCATCCGCTACATATCACACGGTCATTAAGTTCAACCACCCACGGTCTATAGCTTGATTCCTTTGCTAATCCGAGTTTCTAGCTACGATTGAGGGATGACTATCCCATTCCAAACTATCTCCTATGCCTATAAATCAATTGCATTACAGTCTATACTACATGACCCCAATCAATGACTAACACACTTAAAGCATGTAACTTATAAATAAATATGTTATAAATGCATATAACTCAAAAAAACTCGACATAGAGCAAATTAAACCGGACAAATGTCCCCAAGATTCATCTAAGTCGAAACTGAAGCAAAAGCTCAATAATTACTATTCAATCAAAGTCATCTTAAACAATAAAACATATATAACCAACGATTACACAGATACATGCTCCAAAGGCATGATTAACTTAAAAACCCATTATTGGTTGGGACAACTCATTTTTCAATCAAAATCATATAATTTGTATTTCAAAATGTTCCATAACGCGACAATATAAATTTTCCAAACCAAAAACAGTAAAAATACAGTATCATCAAAAGATCCCACACTTATGATTTATTAGTCAAAATATCCAAGAATCTCAAACACGAGTATTTCACAAGATTTATAAAATCAAATGTATCACATATGCAAACCCAGCAAATACCCAGACATTTGATGAATATCAAGTAAAACACATTTCAAAATAGACAATTTTGACATGTACATAATTTTCACAAAACAACTTGAATTCACTTTACTAAGTTAAGTTAAACTTAGATTCTAAACCAAAGCCCTAGCCAAAGGTGAAGATTTGAGATCTCCAAAGCAAGATCCTTTTAAGAGAACTCTTTAAAACCACCAAGCAAGCTCGAAGATACCAAATATTAATGCAAACTCCAAATCTCCCAAGATCCCCCAAACATTTCATCTCTCAAGTACTAGCAACTTCTCTTTCTCAAATGTGACGCATTTTATATAAAACTCTCCAAAGATGAACAACGTCAAATATACTAAATCATATGATTCAAGTCCCAAAATAAAATTTGTACAACCAATACAACTCAATCTCAACCGTCCATTTAATTTGATAAATATGAGATTTCATAGAAGTTTTGATTATTTTCTAATATAAAGTATTGATCATAATTAATGAATCATAGTCATCTTCAATAAATATTCAAATCATAATAAATGAACTCTCATCATTTTCATAAATATCTCAATTGATTGGGTTGCATTGTTGTACAAATGTAATTGGTTGCATTTGAAACATCATCTCTCTATCTATATATGTTTTGAAATATATTAGAACGATAAATTTATAAAATATTATAACAATATAATTATTAAAAATCTCCTAAATTAGAATTATATAGGAATTAAGTGTAATTTTTTGCTTAAATATTGCTGGTTGTTGGTGCATGTGAAAAAATTATATAGAATACTAAAATAATATTTTACATGCTATACGATTTTGTTATTGACAAAATAGTACCTACCAACTTTTAGCAAATTCAGTGCAAGAAACGTTGTAGGTTCTGGTTCAAAGTGTATGTTAAACCTATTCATACAACTGTTATTTTATGCTAATCTCAAATCATTTTTGCACCTTTTTTTTCTTAAAATAAATGTCTATAACAGATTCCGTATATTATTTTTGTTATCTCCCAAAAAGTTAGGAGTTCAAATCTTACCAAAAATAACGAGGGTAAACAAAGTCATTTGTCGTATATAAATATTACGTATGCATAAAAAACTACGGTATTCGAGTTATGTTTAAACTATAGATTTTATAAAGATAGGTTGTTATTCGTGCCCCATTCAGGGTTGTTATTAAAGCCGTTTCATAATGAAAAGGCATACATTATAGAAATATGCAGATGGCTAATCATCTACTTTTCACACTATGAATAACGAGGAATGTCCAAAAAAGCATTTCGAGGATCAGTTTGGTTCTATATGTATCTTTCCATTTGAAGAAAGGAAATTAAAGAGTAGTTGATTATAAAGCAATGATTTTTTCTGAAATATCTACACACACGCAAGGATTCTTGAACTCCCAGCCCAAATATGTTATGAAGACTCGACCAATACCAACATCTAACATGAAGTTTATTGTCAGAAAATAGAGGATGTAGACAGATATTTCCTCTATCCATGACTTACAAGTCATGAGATACACCAACAAAAAAAGGCTCCATCACATTGCAAACATACACATAACTAATCCAACCACTGAATGATCGATGATACAACAACATAACATATAATAAAGAGCTAAGCTTGCTTACCCTCTAACAACCATTAAATTTAACTGTTCAAACAAACCCCCAAAAAACGAAGAGAAAGATCGTGGGACGACAGACAAAACAAGTCATATGAATTCCATAAAACCTCAAAACACTCCAAACTGCGTTACTACAAACAAACAAGATTGTTTAGGAAACATTGGATTCATGAGTATGACCATGGACCCTCACCCGATATATGCAAGTATGAGTCGGGCTTCCATGATTCGACATGAATTCTAGCCTGATTGTATCAATAACCACCACGCTTGGGTTCACATCAAAAGTCTGTGCATTACTCTTTTCAAGGTCGTAAGTGAACTCCGTCAACAAATGCTTCTTTTCCGTTGTATCATCCACCCCGTTGTGCAACCATCCCAAAATCTTACAGTCCTTGGGAGCACTTGATCTGTCAAATGCCACACTCTGTTCATAAAACAACATCAAGTCATTGTGTGTTTAAAGAGCAAGAGTACGTCCACAAAAATTGTCTTATTAAGAGAGATTATTTAGGTATTTGATTATTAGTTAAAAACTTTCACAAAGCTACGTGCCAAGTCAAATGCACAACTTCACTAATCATGATGACGAGTGATTGAAAGTATTTAATGGGAACGGGATGATAACGATGACTAGTTTTCATTATGCCTATTTTTATTTCTTTTATATTTTTACTGTGATTTGTGTTGTGGTCCTTTTATGAAGGGTGTTCCTTTTGTTATATTAAGTTGATGGATTTAGCATGAGCAGAGATACTTGTCGATTTTTTCCTTTTGTTAATTTATCTTTTACTTTATTTGTCATACAATATATTTTGCATATAGAACATAGATATCCCCCCAACCCAAGCACTTGATGCCTTTGCAGTCAAAACAAGCACCCATTCTCAGCTTCCTATGATGTATCGAGTGAAGAGACAAAAACCAACATGACCAAGAGCAAAAAGCAAAAGAGAGAGAGAGAGAGAGAGAGAGGCAAGGATGCAAAGGTAAGCATGATAATTGAAAATCTGCATGCTACAGTAGAAAGTTCATTTATGAATGCAAATCTACAATTATATCTAATCCCATAAACATCCAAACTTCAAAATATTTAGCATATCCAAAGGAGAATGAGAACAAGATAGATGCAACTTTCCGTTTGCTTAAATATGAAATATAAGATGATTTCATATTGCTTGTTAAGAAAACTTAAAAGACACCATATGGGAAAAAAAACAATAACATGGGCAGAATGCTAACATGTTCAACTTTCAAGACGCCACTGAAAAGAAGGTAACAAGAAACACATATTTTATTGCAGGCTCTTTTTTGGGTATTTCATTTACAGGCAAACCAAAATCATTTTCGCTAAAGGTGAGGGATGGTACCAAAGATGAAAGAGCAATAGCTTTCAAGATAATTTTACCATTTTGCATTGTGAAAAGCAAGCTGAAGAACTTGAACTCTAATCGTAGTTCAGAAGCTTCAAGCTAATGCCAACAAACTGCAGAGAAAGTGAGACTGAAAGCTAAACAAACTTCTAAATGATAGAACCAAGGCTGAGGGCAACGTTACTGAAGGCTAAACCTTAAAAAGTATAGCCCGTTTTAATAGAAGGGGCACTGATGTCTAAGATTGGGCGGGCCATCCAAAGTCGTACACAAAGCCAGTATGTGTCGGAGTTACTAGTAGAATAATTGGGAAAACTGTGTAGCTCATGAGTCGAATCTCAGAAAGTGTTTGGCTTGTGATATGTAGGTGAGTTATCATGATATTCACATAAAGGCACAGCTATCACACAATGAAGATCTAAAGAATTTTGGAGTTAAAATGTTCCAAGGAATAAGAAGATTCATATCATCAAAGTTCAATGAAAGCATCATGACAGTTCCAAGATGACCTAAGATAGAAACTTCAGATCCAAAGTAAGTATTCTCACTTCTTCACAAAATGAATGTAACATTCTAATCCGGTGTATGTTTAAAGCGAATTGACAAAAAACTACTTGCAATTGCAAGAGAGATAATGTAAGTATGTAATAGCACATGTTTCTGGGCATGTTTACCCACTTCCTTAACGTGTAAAACTTATTTGATATGTTCTATTGTGTGCCATTGATGTGTTCGTGTGTTGGTTAGGATTGCTTAAATTGCCTAGGAGAACTTGGTGGTAGCTAACATGGATTAATTAAGAGGTCTAAGAGCAAAACTTTTGAACCATTAAAGAGGGGCAAAATCTAGCATGGGACACGCTTCTAAACATATGAATCTTTATAAAGACCTTCCTGGCTTGTTAAAGAGTTTGAAAGGGCTTAGACCATTAAACTAAGGTGTACAGGCGTTTCACTTGATCATTGCAAAAAACTGGTGATAGAGATCAAAAAGATTCATCAAGTTAAAGATCGGACCACTACAGTCCAATGTCATTTGAACAATACCCATATGGTTGTGTGATTGTTTGAGAAAGACTACGAGTGTCCCATCTTGGGCTATTGGGCATAAAAAGTATATTTCATTCTAGACATTCAACTAAACAACATCAAATACTGCAGCTCCTCCTTTATCCCTATAATTTTACTCCTTAAACTTCATAAACTGAAAAGTTCTCTAAACTCGGGAACCTAGAAATGTACAGTTTACTTTGATGATGATAATCTTCAAAAGTATAAGCATAAAAGGGTACTTAAAGTTGCAGCCAATGTCCCTTACAAGACTACCTTTGCATTTATTTGCTTTTTCCCTGATTCTTGAGCCTTCAAATCCACCTTGTATGGTCATATATAGATAGAAGATGAATGCACCGAGGAATTATGGCACATGAGTTTTAAAGTCTCTTCCTACTAGAAAGCTCTTTGTGGGATGCAAATGGGTCTTCACTGTGAAGTTTCATCTTGATCGTTCTTGTCATCACCTGAGAATAGTAATACCAGGACTTCTAAAGGGTACTTTTGCAACACAAATAGGGTCTTTTGTGCAGGTCTGAAGTTGGTACTTACTTGACAAGGGTTGTAATTGCTATGTAGTTCCAGCCACTCTAGTTGACCATTTGACCCCCTAATTATTTTTTGTACCATTTTTATTTATTTTATCCTTTTTTATGTGGAAAATATTACTTTTGTCCACATATGTGCTGTCGTAGTAAATATCCATCATCGGTCTCTCTATTGGTTAATTATCGAGAATATTTCTTTCTCAATGGTTATCTTAAATAGGAGGCATACATGGATTAGCCATCGAGTTTTGCTGTAAAGAAAAGTTCTCCAAGTTGGCCTTTGTCTGAAACAGTCTCCGAGAGCTTGGACATGTTTTCAAGTTATATCTGGAAATGACAATGGTTATTAAATGTTTTACGTTCATAAACGCTATCTTGTTGGGGGAGAACTCTTGTTGCTTTTAGCCAGAAGAGGAACAAAATTAGCACATGGTGACACGAGCATGACCAAACAAAATGTAAAGTTCAGAATTGAAACAGAACGTAAGAATGACTAATCAGAATTTGTTTTTTGTCTAGCATACAATCCGTAGTAGGATTGTGCAATTAACTCCAGAATATTTGTTAACTGTAACGTTAAGCTTGAGTTGGTGTGCGAAGCTAACATTTACTTCATATACTAAACCAAGCACAACAAGAAGCTTGGTTGAGATTTAAAGTAGTTCTAAGAACCTTCAATTGCAAGTTGCTTTTAGATGTGCTTCATCTTGGTTATTTATCATTAAAGGATGACAGGCAACTCCAACACATCTAAGCTTCTATGTCATAATAATGTTGATTGCAACTCCAAAATCCCTCTTTAGTTTAAGCGCCTTGTATGGTTGCTTATGCAGTCGCTGGTGAAGCGAAGGAACTTCTGGTACATTGTTCGCAAAGTCACTCAACATATCACCTACAACTTACAGACTTACAGCACATAACTTCTGGCTTCAGTTCGACTTGCTTAGTCACCCAATACATCTTGTATTACTAAAAAACCCGGTGACACTTAAAAATACTTGTGAAGTCACAAGATGTGGCATGTGCTTTGGAAGAAAACTTGGTGAGCAACAAGGCGAAAATCGCTTGAAAGGACCAGGCAGATTTTATTGCCATTTCTAGGTCATTTTGTTGGTTAACACATTACATTTTTATAATCTCTTCCTCAATAATCCATGGCACCTCAGTAAGTTCTAGCACTATTTCTCCTCCGATTTTGCATCATAATCTTCATCATTATTCATTAATTGTGGATTTCTCTAGGCGGTCCTCCTCCACCATGGTTTTCTCCTGTTCCCATCTCCTATCTCTCTTACCTTATTATATTGCTTATTAAAAAAAATTGATGTTTGATGATTGAATGAGGGCTTCGTATATTTTCTGCATTGGAATCAATCTTGAGTTCATTGAAGTTAATCATTTGGGATGTTAGCTTTTGCCTAGCTTGACACTTGGGTTGAACAATATATTTGGGTAGGTTTTGAAGTTAAATAGCATCTATTGATTCAGCTATTAGCACAAAGTGTCATGTAAAAATAACACAACTATGAGTGAACCAGAATTGAACCCCAAACAAAATTGAAAGAACAAGCAGGCAAGAAACTCTACAAATTAGAAACAAACCTTGGAAACATGTTCAAGAGTAATAGCCTCTGGAACAATGGCAGTCCTCAGCTTGATCTCAACAAAACCATTGTTTCCTTTGAGAGGGAAACATTCACCAGGCTGCCCAAAACTTGGTTGCAGCATCTTCACAGCATCACTCCGCACGCCTTTAGTAAACCAATTACTAACCCTGCTAGTACCAAGAAAGGCCTCAGAGTGCTTCAACACCATTGCACCACCTGATGCCACCGCATAGTCAACCCTGCCAAGCCCATCAGCAGCATGTTTTCCTATTTCTTTCTCAACAATTTCCCTGGCAAAAGCCCTCACTTCATCCAGTTTTAAGTCCCCAAGATCATCAATCCCCTTTTTCCCTTTGAACTCCTCCAGAAATTTATCAAATTCATCTTTGGATAACCACTCAGTAGCAGCCAAGGATTTCTCCATGCTTTCAACCCTTCCATCCAACTCACTCAACCGGCTAGAAAACTCAGCACCTTCATCATCAATTCTTTTACTTAATTCAGTTTTCAAGCCCGCAATCTCATTCTCAATCTTCCGATCCACGAGTTCAACCTGAACTTGCATCATCTTGGTTGTAGTCTTCAAGAAGGCCTCCACTTCCGCAATCCTTCTTTCGTAATCAGAAGAAGGGATAAGAATGGAATCGTAACCGCTCCCTTGATTGAACGCAAGCCTACGAATCATCTGAGCCAAAAGCAAGAGTACAAGTAGAAGAGCAAAATTCTTCATAATCACACTGAGAGCCGTCTTCCATGGAGGCCTCGAAGAAGAGGGGACGTTTCCCTTCTTAGCGACGGTTCGCTTCCGCAACTTGGTAGTTGAATTGGTGGGTACAGGATTCTTGGCATCTCTAGATCTTTCAAGGACGGTTTCTGCTCCTACTCTTGCTCTAATTGAATGAGTGGGATCTTTCCCTCTGCTGTTTTCGCCGCCGCTGCCCGGAGAAGCATCAATTCCATCACTACCGGCCAAATCTAAGGCTGATTTCTTCTCACCGGTCACTAGAGGTCTACGCAAGGAAGCAGCAGAAGGGTTTGCGGTAATTGACACAGTGGACGATGACATTTGAGATTTTGAACGCAGATTTGAAATGGGTATTTGGAAATGCAAAGAAGAACTAAAAAGAAAGGAAAATCCCTAGCTTTAGAAACGAAATTTAGGAGGGACCCGAGTGAGGGAATCGCTTCAAGTTATCGATGGAGAGAGAGGGTGAAGAATCAAAAGACTACCAAAACCGAAGGAGAAGTGGATGGCAACGCCTCTTCAATGAGCGGTTCCACGTTCAAAATAACCACTGTTAACGATGTGATTTTGCTATAAATAAAAAAGAATTTGATTTTGATCCCTAAATTTTAATTAAATGTGTTATATTTAACAAAAACTTCCATTGAATACTTATATGATCTAAAATATTTGTTTATTAATTCCTTTGAGTACTTATATGATTTAAAATAATTATTTATTAGCAGATTAATAAGTCTAACGAAACTCATAGCTTATTTGGTCGGTTATACATGATTATTTAGTAATTGTTTAATAATATTAAAAATAGTTATTCAATAGATTATCTAGTTGAACCTTTCTTGATCCTTGCATTTCTCCTCATGCCTCTCTATTGCCTCCTTCCCGTTTCCTCATTCTCACCAACGAGAAACACGTCGGTGTTCTCAGCCATTTCCATCATCCTTTGTCTTATATGGAACAGAGACCCAAGGCATATGCACAAGATTTGATTTTATATCTCAATTTAGGGTTTGAGTTTAGTATTAGGTGTATCGTGTATGTTTTTTATTTTAAAGATATGATTTTGTATCTCGATTTTATTATTATTTATTTATAGGTTTTTGAGATTTTTTTTAATTGGATTTGTGTTTGATATAAATTAAGTATACATGTTTGTGTTTTGGATTTGTGGTGGTAGATCGAATCTAGATTTCATGAAATTAGGGTTCTTCAATTGAGGAATAAGAATCTTAATGCGAGAGAAAAAAATAGGTAAAAAGACGGATTAATGTAGGGTTCTTCAAATGATCTGAGTTAACTACATACTTTACTAACATTGTCAAATATATGAACGTTTTTGGTTTCTGGCTATCTTGAATCGAGCACGAAATAAGCATCACAATGTACTTATTGAATTTTAAGGGACAAAACCAAAAAAGCAACCAACGCACAAGGACCAATAACGTAATCTATATCTATACTATCTATATAATCTATACTATATTATAAAGCATTTGACAAAAACTCTTAAAAACCATTTTTTATGTATGAAATACTGTTTATTGATGCATATTACTTAAAATTCAAGATTACAAGTAAATTGTACGTAAGTACAACTTATTAAAGCTTTATGTTTGAATTCGTGTAACTAACTCCAGATAAACATAATCAAATAGAGGATAAACATATCATTTTAAATATAAAAAACTAAAATATAATTAGGATAATCATTGAGTTCTAACAAAATACGTAATTATTATCTTTATAAAATTATATTATTAAACCAAAAAAAAAATTGAATTAAAAAATACACAAAAAACGAGAAATTTTAAATAGTTAGTCTGATACTAATATCAATTTTTTTTTTAAATTTTTTATGATATCTTCATATTTATATTTTATTTAAAAATAAAAATATTATCGTTTTCTGAAAACCACATAAAACCGTATTATAACATCGACTAAGACAAAAAACATGAAATACTAAAATCAAGATTTATTTCGTTGCATTGTGCGAGTACCCTTCTAGTATATTATAAAATGTTTGACAAAAACTCTTAAAAATCATTCTTTATGTATGAAGTACTGTTTGTTAATGCATATTACTTAAAATTTAAGATTACAAGTAAATTGTGCATAAATACAACTTATTAAAGCTCTATTTTTGAATTCGTATGATTAACTACAGATAAACATAATCAAATATATGATAAATATCTCATTTTAAACATAAAAAATCTAAAATATTATTAGGATAATCATTAAGTTCTAACATAATCATTATCTTTATAAAAATTATATTGTTAAGTAAAAAATAAAT